GCTCCATCAAAACCAGGAGCTCAGTCCTGCATCCAAGACCTCGAGAGACCCTGCTCATGCTCACGCTCCCCACCACGGCAGAGATTTCCTTCCTGACCTTCACTGCTCTTTGTTCCTCTTTTTCCTCCAATCTCCTGGGTGGATGAGTTGGTATTTTTCATATATCTGACAGGACATGTGCTCATTTTTCCCTTACAGTGACATTTTTGCCCGAGGTTGGCCAGAGAAGCTGTGGCTGCTCCTCCCTGGAAGTGTTCTCGGCCAGGTTGGATGAGGCTTTGAGCAACCTGGTCTAGTGGAAGGTGTCCCTGCTGCTGGCAGGGGGGTTGGGACTGGATGAGCTTGAAGGTCCCTTCCAACCCAAACCATTCCATGATTCTATTCTATGATTTTGTGAATTAAATGATGTTTAGACAACGCTGATGATGAAAAGTCCACCATGAGCAGCAGCCATCAACAGCACAATTTATAATCACAGAATTGTGGTGGTTGGAAAAGACCTTTAAGATCATGGAGTCCAACCACAAACCCAACACTGCCAATCCCACCTCTAACCCATGTCCCTGAGCACCTCATCTGCTCATCTGTTAAATCCCACCAGGGAAGGTGACTCCACCACCTCCCTGGGCAACCCCTTCCAATGCTTAACCACTTTTTTTCTTTCCCCCCACACCCCTTCCATCAAATCCTCACCCCAGACCTCTGAGAAGCAGAATATCCTCCTAAAGCCCATGCCACAGAGAGAATTAAATGCAGCAAATTCAAGTCTCATCTCCTCAAGTCTACCTTCTCCTGCAGGGAGGTCATTTTGGAAGGAAGGGAAGGGCACAAGGGCAGCTTTGAGCATCCAAAACGGATGTTAAGTGGAGATAAAACAGGAGCAGTGAAGTTCTTGTGTTGCTCGTTGGGCTTGTGAAGAAGTTGGAGGATGGAGAGATGGGAATGAAGGCCACGTGGTGGGAGCAGGATGCTGTGTCCACTTTAATAGGTATTTTATTTCTCCTCCATGTCTAGAAAACACACGGTGCTGGAAGGCTGGAGCAGCTCAAGTCATCCAGTCTTGCTAGGAGAAGGCTCAGATCTTCACAACCTATTTCTGTCCCCAAATGGATGAGAAAACTCATGGTGCAAGGGATGGACACATTGGGTGGCTGAATATTTCTGCACAGCTTTTTCTTCCCCAAACCTCTGGCTCCCAGCAGAAACAAGGTTCCAAAACCAGAACCAACCAAAACCAGAACCAAGGGACAAGATCTCATCTCTGCCCTTCACCCCTCACCCATCCAGCTCATGGGACAGCCCATACATGGAATCAGCCTGGTGAGGAGGACAGAGATGCTTCCATGTGGTACCCACCCAGCAAACCTTCATCCCTGGCTGGACCTTCTCGTGGAGCAGAGGAACTTCTCCTCCCAAACCACTTGGGCAACAAAATTCTTGCATGAATGAAATAATCCCACAATTTTATTGCAAACTTCAGATCGTTTGAATTTTCTATGGAGCCCTGGTTGCTGGAGGCAGCTATTTCCATCAGGATCTCCAGCTCTCTGTCATCACTCCTCTTTTTCCTTCTCTTCCAGAACAGAATTCTACCCTGCTTGTGAAAACAAGCTGAAATATCGATTCAGAAACCAAAAAGTGAATGAAAAAAGAAGGTAAAACTTTGTTTTTCATGGAATCACAGAATGGTTTGGGTTGGAAGGGGCATTTGAAGACCATCCAATCCAACTCCTTACTGTGGGCAGGGATATCTTCTACTAGATTAGGTTGCTCAAAGCCCTGTCCAACCTGACCTTGAAGACTTCCAATGATGGAGTATCCCTGACTTCTCTTTGGACTCACCATCCACGCGTGGTGGAGCACTGCCTGCTCCCCAGCATCATGCTCAAGGGCAGACAGAAGACAATCAGACCTGAAGGAAAGTTTCTTCTTCACTTAGAGAAGTTCACCTTCAAGTTCAGCTCATGCCTCAGAATCATAGAATCCTAGACCTTAAAGATCATCCAGTTCCACCCCCCCTGCCAGCAGCAGGG